AAATTACATATATGAGTTTCTTTCTCTTTTACATTGATCTTTACATATATTTATCTCCCTCCAATAAAACTAACACCAATCTAAGAGGTCGCTGATGTTGCTGGTTTTTTGACGTCGACGTATCGATTAAATCTGACAACTGACAATGTTATGAATGTTGTTATGAACGTGTTCATTTTATTAAAATTAATTTAATTTGGGCCCAGTTTATTTCTTTGAGTCTGATTTTGTTGTTTAATTAATTTTCTTTGGGGGGAATGTTTATTTTTGCATGAAGCAATTTCTGGAACCAAACTCGCGCTTTTGTACACATTTCATTCTAGAGGTAAGTAATTTCTAATTTATTAAGAAAACCACTGTATAATGTGTGTGTTTAATAATATATTACAAAATGACTATAATTATTTTAGGTGAATTGGAACAGAGATCCATTGTTACAGCTACTTTTGTTCATTAAGTAGGTAGATGAATGTCTGGACAGCTTTAATGGCAGCACAAAGTTCCTACCTACTAGAAAAGTAAAATGTATACAGAGTAAAGAATTTACACATGTAGTATTGGCAAAGGACTTTTGAAATGATTAGAGATTAGCATTTCTTACATACACCTACCTCTAATAGCCACTCTAAAGGAAGAAAAAAAAATTTGAATCACAAAATGGCAGAATTTTAAATCAGGATGCATTGGAAAATAAATTTGGGGACATCAAGTCGGTTTTGGATTTTAGAGAGAGATCAATCTCAAGAAAAGTTAATTTATCCTGCAAAACAACCAGTAGTTTAAGTAGGATTTGCTATAACTTTATTAGAAATATTCTTTGATAATAAATTGTAATATAGGTACCAATTGTTTCAAATGAAATTGAAAAAGAGTTAAATACGAAATTAGATTTTTCATGAGTAAAATGTTATATTGATTCAAACATTGTAAGGTAATCTAATTAAGGGAATATGGAAAATAGGTATACCCTGGTGGTGTAAGAGACAGGTAAGGGGCAATGACAAAAAAATTACAAAAATGTATTCATCTTTAAATAGTGTTTATTATTAATAATATTATTTGCTATGTTTGAAAAGTACCTCCTGCTGCAGAACAGATCGAATAGATTAGACTACTAGTTGGAGAAGGTCCACCTACTAACCAAATTAGAAGACTAGGAAAACTTTTACATGACTGGGGACACAACAGGAATGCACACACACAAGATACACAAACAAAGGAAATAACAGGGGTAAGCCTTCAGCAACGTCCTGTTTAAATGATGATAGTATGTCATCCTTCATTCCCTTTTAGAAGGCATGGTATATAAATCTATTGAACTTGATTACCGTAAGAGGAGTTAGCAGGGGGTGTACGGAATGGGTCTAGCAGGTTTCGATCCAGTTTACAGGATGGGTACTTACTCGACTCGGGCCTTATACATTCTTATTGGGTGTATGTGTTTGTTTCGTTTCCATGGTTTCTATTAAAATAAATACGTCATAACATATCCATACCTTTTTGCCAGACTAATGTAAGCTACATTTGTTCAAAAGGCACTTATGATAGTCTGGCAAAAGGTATCGATGTACTCTATACTTTATAAAATATTTGTTACATTAGTTTTTAAATATATTATGAATATATAACAACTGTTACTTTCTTTGTAATTTGTCACAAAATGATACAATGTACTTTCTAAACGAAGCAATTGTAGTTTGTTTTTCTGTACCTTACAAAAATATAATTTATAGAAAAGAGTTTGGTGTCTTATTTTTCCAAGTTTAAATATTAAATAATCAATAGAATTTTCAATTTTTTTTTAGCGAAATTGACAAGAGTAATAAAAACTATGTTCACTGCTTATATTAAACTGATTAAAACTTCCTTTATTAAAATGATTATTTATATGATAAAAAATTTGATGTTGGAAGCTTTTATATTTTTTTAATATACAGTGAAACAATAGTTTTTGTTTCTCCTGTAAATTTGTATAGAAAAACTATTTATTTCTGAATCCATGTTTGAATTTCCCGCCCTAAATCATTTTTAATTTTCCCGGTATTTACTAGTGGTGCCATCATAGACTGGTTGTGGTTACAATCGCCCAAATAACTTTTACCGAACAAAAAAATACATTGAGTTACAGGTCTCGCTGGATTGTCTCTGATATTATCTACTATTCTACGCACAGATTAATATAATAATAATACTCTCCTTAATTCACCCCCTTACGAGTGAATTTCAACCCCTGAAGTCGTCTGAACGACTTGTGTAGGGGAAGGGACGGCTATTATTATTATTTGCCGTGGCGCTCCGGGGCGACTTAAAGATGATTTGGTGTCATTTGACTTACAGGTGAGGAAAACCTCACCTACCATCATCGAGACGGTAATGCATGGCGATTTTTTTAATCTGCATGTCATATCAACAGAAATTGAATTTCTATTAATACGGCACACATCAAATCCTAAACCGAACCATACAATTTAATTAAAAATCCACATGATCTGGTCTGGGATTCGAAGCCCAGCAGTCTCAGACTCATAAACTTGCCTATAAATGAATATAAGCGCGTTAGACCGCTACACTACCGACCAACATGAAAAGGCAGGTCATTGCGTTCTACTGAACGGATATAATTTCATATCCATTCTTGTGTTGGATACTGTACAATTATGTCAAACTAATTGTTGGTATATTTTTAAAATTAATAAATATGATTAAAATAGGTGGTTTTTATATATAATCGATCAATAATGGCAAATCAGTAGATATTTGTGTATATTTATCAAGAAACTGTAGGTACATACATTTTAATAAAACCACCTATGTCCCCCTAGGTTGGAATCATATAGAAACAAATTTTATTATTAATTTTAGGAGTTTTACTCAAGAGTAAAGTACCTTTATTCTTTATACGACTGATAAAATTTGATATCTGATGGTTATATTTTAGGTTTTAGACCATGCTCGACTTTTTATAAAGAATAACTTTTTTCCTAAAATTAGTAATAAAAAAGCTTTCCTATGCCACTGTCTACGTAAATTGGCGGCATATGAAATTCACAATTTCAATTTTTTATTAATTATTTTTAACCTTTAAAATATTTTTTTTAAATTTTGCAGCTTTTCGTTAGTGGAGCATAGAAAAAATAAAAATATTTTTAAAATTAGAAAAAAGGAAAATAAATATCCAAATCAGTATCTATTATTTTATATTTAAACGACTTTTATACTATTACTCTTACAAATCTAACATATTATTATTAATAAAATATGTGTTAGTGTATAAATTATTTTAATAACTATCTGTAAGTTTAATTAAAAATATCATATTTTAAATTATTGTAACCTGCTATTTATTTTGTAGATATAAGCCAAAGAATTAATTATAATAAAAAAACATTTTTAAGTTTTTTATTTATTATCATTTTTTTGAGATACAAGATATAATGGCAAATGTGAATAATTAAATTAAACTCGTACCATCATCTCCACAGAGCTAGAGTTTATGATGCGCTTTTTTATGGTCCTCCCATTGAAAAAATCTGATGTAACCAACACATGACTTTCCTATCTAGTTATTATAGGCTTTTTCCGGTTATTTTGTACAACCTATTCCAGCAACTCTATAAAGGTTTAGAGGATAAACTAAATATATACATTTTCCACATACATCTACCTCGAAATATTTTTCTATAGATATTAATTGAAAACGAAAATACTGAAAAATTTAAATTTAGCACTTTCTCCAATTTTTCCATTACGGTCCATTTTAGAAAAATCATGTATAAACTAAACAAAAATTATAGAGATCGATATCACAAACAACTTTTAGTTTAACAATTTTCTTAAAAATCAGAATTTTGCACATTTTGTCAAATTTTTCGAATACGAACCATTTCAGGAAAATTTGACATAAAACAAAAATTATAGATAATAATATTAGAAGTAACTTCTATTTGATCAATTTTCTTCTCTAAACATAAATAACAGATATATTCCATAAAATATAAAAACGGCCTCCCATAAAGCACCCCCCCCCCCCCAGATGTTCCGACTTTGTCCAAAATCTAATACGTCAGGCCAAAATAAAACTTATGTTTAAAATTTAATGTTTTTTTCTTCATCCGTTTTTGAGTTTTCTTCAAAATTCGAAATTTACACATTTTCTCAAATATCTCGAATACGGTCCATTTTAAAGAAATTATATATAGAATAAAAATTATAGAGAATTATATTACAAACAACTTTTATTTAAACAATTTTTATAAAAAATTATTTTTTTTACATTTTGTCAAATTTCTCGAATACAGACCATTTTAGGAAAATTTTGTATAATACAAAAAAATATTGATAATAATATTGTAAGTAACTTGTAGTTGAATAATTTTCTCCTTTAACCGTAAATAAGAGATATATTCCATAAAATATAAAAATAACCACCTATAAAGTACCTCCCCCCCCCCAGATGTTTCGACTCTGCCCAAAATCAGTTTCATTGGACGCCGACTAAAGCTTAAGTTTATAATTTGGCGCTTTTCTTTGTATCGGTTCAGACAGACAGACAGACACCCGCATTAAAAATAGGCAATGTGTAACTTTAAGACGCTATATATCAAAAACTAGTCATAAGATGGTGTTGGCTCCGTCGACGCCTTTGTTTAAATAATAAAAATTTTAACCTAGTGCCATTTCTCCATATGGAAAGTGCGAAGATCTCGCCAGGGGTAGCAACTGCCCCCTTTATCCCTTTCTGGCGGCGTCCATGGAAGACGCATATATACCAAATTTAAACATTAATATTGTGCAATTTTTAAAACAAATAAGAAACATTACAGGCTTCCATTAAAAAAGTTATACCACCACTTAAAAATATAAAAAACCAAATAAGTAGTTTTGATAAAAACATAGTCCCAAAGTTTGTATTCTAGTCCATAAGAATATTATGATTTCTTAAAATCTTTAATATATTAAATGGACGGCGACTGTACAATGAAAATAAATAATTAACTTACCCATAACAAATAGTAACTTGCTCTCCCTTTTTTATAGAAGCTTTGGCCCTTGTTACTATCAGAGATCCATAATGAAAAAAAAAAGAATTGGGCGCACAAGAATTATTGTACAAACAATTAAAAGCATACAATGCCATACCAACTTTCTTAAAGGTAATAATAACAGAGTCATCACAAATTTTTTCAATTGATATTGGATTAATAGTGGTAATCAGGTAAGCTTTAAAAAGTAGTTTCTGTAAATTCTGATCATCCTCATCTGTATCATATTCTGAGGCGAATTCTTGATTTTCTTTAAGAACATGGTAGGCAATTGATGCGTGAATTGCTACTGTACATAGTGTGATGTAATCACGCTCTTTGTCATGCATTTCCAATTTTATTATTTCTTTAAAAGAATCAGATTGATGGATATTAGTAGGTTCTTCGGCTTCTGTTTTTTTAGAATCAACCATGCCTGCAAAAATTGTTTCTATATTACTTTTTGTTATTATTATATTGATGTTAATTCTGAAAATTCAATTGTATAGACAAATACATCTAGAGTTATTTATCCAACAAATAAAAATTAGATAAACAACAAAAATATACGATGTATTGAGATATAATAAAGAGGAGATGATTTGACGATACTAAAAGTATACGCATCTATCCATTAATCTAACAATGTTAATCTACAATGTTAATCTAACAATGTCAATCTAACAATATTATTAAGACAATGTTATTTTAACAATGTTATGTTATTCTAACAATATTATTCTAACAATGTTATTCTAACAATGTTAATATAAGAATGCTAATCTAACAATGATAATCTAAAAATGTTAAAGTTAATTTCACAATGTTATTTAAAGGACGCCTTCTTTTCCTTTAAAATAACTTAATTTACGTAATACGTAGTTATCAGTTACACAATTTATAATAAGTAAAACACTACAAAGCAAGAAACAAGAAAGGATACGACAGACTGATGTGAATATGCACAGATAAATAAAAAGATATGGTGTGATGTGATGTGCAATACCAACTGGCTGTTTTTAAGGTAGGACATTGCTATTTTAAGGTAGGGCATTACCCCTATGTGCCTTCCTCTGGCAACGGCCCTGCACTGACACCAGGATTCTGCACAGTATACTCCCAGTATATATCACGGGGGTTTAAATCATATGCAAAATATGCCAACCTGTTTACTGCGCAGACCACCCGGCGCTTGGGTGCTCTGAAGTCCGTTTTACAATAACCAAATTGTATTAAAATGTAAAGCACACTGAATAATTTAATAACATCTCGCTCAGTAACACAAAAAAGTATTATTTCAACAATTTTAATTTATATATTAAACCAAATTAAAAAATCATGCCTTCACTTAGTTATTTGTACAATGTTAACCTGTCTTTATGTCCGCTACATGCCTGCTGGCTCCCCCCCGTGTGACCGCTGCCACGGTGACGCGCGCGCTATCAACAAAAAGTAAACAAAAAAACAATATGGTTATGGTTGCCGCCGACGAAAACATGTGAGTGAGTAGTTTTTATTAATTTTAGTTTTAGATATAAGTTATTTAGGATTATTTAAAATTAAGTAAAGGTATTTTGATGCTTTAACTAGAGAAAATACATAATTTCCAAATCAAAGAAAGAATGGTGCCACATTTTAAACATTTCATGTGAAACCAATCATGAATTATGAGATAATTTTGATACGAAATCGATTACAAACACAAATTGTTCAAGACTAAGACTGTTAAGATTTGCTTGCTTAGCACCCTCAAAACCAGATACACCAAAGATAATAATACTTAGTAATGTTGTTATCACACCTCCAGATTACCTGTGTTACATTCCAATAATATAGAAGATCAAAATTTCAAAAACGGTCAGTCATCAATTGAATTTGAATCTTAAATCCTTATTGAAACGTTGTTCCTTAACAACGTTTCGATAATGAATTTTTAAATAAATTTTATAGAAAACAGAAAAGTAAAATTTGCAAATTAAAAAATGCCCTATAATTCCTAATGTGACGTTTAAACTGCAGTCAAAATTTCAGAATCAAAGATATTTCAACAATTTAATTCAAAACTATTATAATGTAGTTTGTTCAGGTTTCTTTAAAACTCGATGCAAACTGTCCGAGAACCAGTGAAACAGTTTAATTCCAAATTATTTGTCGGATACAACTATTAAACTGTCCACTGGTCAACTAGTCTGCTGATAGTTCTCAATGTATTTTTGAAGAACCCGGACAGACCTAGCTGTGGCAATATTTTAAGACCAAAAAGATAAACAAATTGATTGAAGTTACTGCATTTAATTTTTTTTCTGTTTCAGTTTATATGGATGGTTGCCTTTTATCTTATTTCCCAAGATTCAACAAGAATATTTTTGTTATTTAGAAAATTAGTTTTTTCAAATCAAGTACATGAATTATTTGCAATTTCTGATATTCATTATTTTAACCGAAGATAGTTAATGTACACCTAAATAATAATGTGATATTTCTGATATTAGAGTAATTTTCTTAAAGATAATAAATATTTGGAGATAATTTATAATACTAGAATGTTTTTAAGTCAAACTCATTAGATAATCTTTAGAGAATAACATTTTCGTGAAATTAGGAGTATTTTTTATAGAAACTAGTAAACATTTGTAAAAATAGATTGTACTTTGTATCGAAATAAACTAATATATACAAATAATGATGGTAGGCCGGGTTATCCGGGTTTTACTCACCTGCAAATAATATGGCACTATCAGTTATCTTTAAGTCAGCCCAGAGTGCCATAGCAAATAATAATAACTATTCTTGCCACTCACAAGCTCTTCTTGGGGTTTAACTCATGTAGGTTGAAGTGTAGGAAAATCTATTATTATTGTTGTATTACCATTAATTTAATTTATTTTTCTTGGGAATTTTTAGTAAATATAATTATATAAAACTTTGTATGGTATTTATTTTACCCCTCATAGTTATTTGTCATAGAATTTTACATTTTTATTGGCATTTCATAATTGTAACAAACAGCTAATAAAAAAGCAAAATTTTAAATATAATTAAGAGGAGAAAAATTTACTTTAGCAATTATCTTTTTCTAACCAGTACGAAATAGAGCTATGGACATTTCTAGTTTATTTTTAATTTTTAGTGAATGAATAATATATACATTCAGGTAAAAGTGAAATATTTGTTTCTCTGGAGCCACTATTCTGAAATCTGATTTATTTTCTCAAAAATTGAGAAAGTCTTTATGAAACAAAATTTTGCGATTTTTGCCATCAAAATTGATCAAATTTTAAAAAAGTGGCTCCAGAGGAACGAACGTCTACCTTCACTTACATGTTTTTCTTTCACTAAAAATGAAAAAAATTAACTGAAATTTTGGATGCCTATATTTCGTATTAGATGGAAAATAATAATTGTTAAAATAAATGCTCCTCTTAATGGATGTAAAATAAGCCCGCCAATTTTCAAATTAAATATGGTATTACGGGCAACTGCATTACCAACAGAGTAATAATTGAACAGCTAATATTGTAGGTAACTATATTATCGACAGAGTAGGATTAGTTGAACCACCCGCTTCCACAGGTCGCTGCAAGCAAACTTGTTGCCAAATTTCTATAAAGATACGGCAACTCTTAATAATCTTTCCTCCATGGTATATATACTAATCAGTATTGGCACTCTGAGGCGGCACGTTTGATCTTTAAAAGTAGAAATTTTAGTTGACACTTGACGTTTTCGGGATATGAAAAGTTTTCTTTACACGGACTTGGTATACATGGTTAGTTGAATTTTTGTTCTGCTGCTTTTCAAATTCGTGTGTATGAGGGAGATGTGAGATACCTTAATAGACAACGGTTGAACAACTTAATTACTTTGAAGAAGAAAAAAGATTAGATATCAGGGCAGTCTTCGCAAATGTAAGAAGGACAGAACCGTTTTAAATTTTTTTATATATGTGAAATATTACTTTTTGGTGAAAATTTTAATTACTTTTAGTTCAAAATATAACGTTAGTTTGTCAAGGGAAATATATAACACACAAGGTTAGAGTAACAAAATAGAGGTATTGCTTTATTTCTTAAGAATTACTCTAATATAAAACTTTTCTAGTACATTGTAAAAATTTATTCTATACGTTATTTAGGTACTGCAAAATCTATAGGAAAGTATGTAGTTTTAAATTTAAAAATTTGTAACGGAGACATATATTTAGTGTAGTTTTTTACAAATATATACTCAGTGACTTGTTTTTGTGAATGAGTTCATAAGTATGGCAGACTAAAATCGTTATTTTTTATTATGAATTAATTTGAATTTATTTTAAAATGGGAACTATATGTATATGATTTTCGTAGCTTTTACACTTGTGATAAAAATATCAAAGTTATGTATATTGGCCATTTACTACACACAGCAAATTCATAGACACAATACATATTACTATTTGACATTCTTGTAAAACCACTAATTTAAAATTGACTTTAAACTAAGTGACTACACACAGAATTGTTTGAAAGCAGCCATAAGGTATAATTTATGTATTGGATACTATAAAAAAATTAATAGTAGTTACATGTAGAGTTAAGTAACAAGATATTTAAGACTAAAAACAAAACAAACCTTTATATCTAGTGAACTTAATTTAGTACAGTCCTCAACTTTCTTAGGCTCACATTAAAGATATCTATTTGGATCTCGCTAAGAAACTCATTGGTAACAGCCATCATCTTGTTAAAAAGAGATATACTACTTGGATCTAAATCAAATAATTTATTGTTACTTGCGTTTCTTAGATTAATCTTTGCCACATTAACATTTATATAGTCAATCAATTCATAATCTTTGTACTTAAAATAGAGTACAAAATATATCACAGCCTGTTGTTTTTTTCTTTGTAAAAGAGATTTAATCTTAAAACTATTGAGCAAAGTTTTATACGAGATCTTAGGTATAAGGGTACAAGTATTTTTTATGACATAAAGGTACCGTAAAAATATTTTTTGTACTTTTTCAATATGATCAATTTGTGTGGCTTCCAAGGGCATCCATATTTGTGAAACATACTCAAGATGGAGTCTTACTAAGGCATTATATAATCTGATTTTGGTGGTAATCCTAAATTTTTTTTGTATTTCTGATTTAAAAACCTATTGCTTTTATTGCTTTTTTAGTTATGTGTAAAAAATGGTTATTGAACTTCAAATTAGACTGAAAGACAACTCCCAAATCCTTTACCTCATATTAACGATTTAATGTGACATCACAGGTCTTATTTCTAATGTAAAACATTAAGAGGCTATGGATCCTTACAACTTAAAATATGCATACGTTTGTAAGTGTTAAATAGACGGATAAAAAGTGTTGATTTTTATTTATAACTATAATAAGAACCCATTAAAAAGATTAAGAGCAATATAACATTTCAACAAATTTGATACCTGATAA